TTTTCACGGAAACTCTTATCAAAGACATAAAATTAAGATTCGACTCAATATTCCGCTCATTAATGACTCCTTATATTCGAGTCAAAGAGTCGATTAACTCCTAACACAAGTACTATAAAAATGAATATCTATTTGAGTCCATTTAAAAGATAGCACCGACTAAATCGATATAACATTTGCTTACAATTTATAATCAAAACTAAATAAAGTCTATTTTGCAAAAACAATTTCAGCATTTATTGACCAATTTATTATAATATTGAAAAACAATTTAAATAATAGCAAAATAAAACAAACATCTATTGTTTAATTAGTTGAATACCGTTTTAATAAATGGTGGATAAAACAGTAATTTGTACAAGAATTGTGTCTTTGAGTCAAATCCCTCCCACAATAACACTCTAACGGTAGTGAAGAGCATAGGATTGAAGTGATAGAGAATTGTGGAGAGAGTTGTGGGAAGAATCCGAGTCTAAGAGCGGGCGGAGCTCTAAACCCATCGCTAAAAGCAATCACTTCTATAGACTACTCGTCAGTAAACCTCATAAACTCGTTTACATCATTACATCAATGCAGTAATCATTCAAAAAACTAATTGAAAACTTATTTTTATTTGTATTAAATAAGTGTAAAAAAATAAATTAGTAAAAAGTGCACATTAATATTGTAATTAATGTGTTGATTATGAATATTATAAACTAATTGCTTGAGTTTGTGTATGTCATGAACATGTGTCAGGGAAACAGTGACCACAACAACACTCTCGAGTGGGACATCAATGATAATCACATTCCCAAAGTAAGTCTATATTTTAGCAGTTATACAACATTTCGAGAGTACTGTAGAGTTTAAACACTACTTTTTGTGCCTAAAATTCATGCATTCATTCAAATTATGCCACAAACGTGTCAATCGCTTCGTAAATCTTATCTATTTCTTTAATCTCTGTTTCTTTTATTCAATTCTTTATTATTCTTCACTCAAACCAGTAGTCAATACATAATAATTGTTGAAAAATGCTTTTGAATTGAAATCTTTTAAATTCAATCTTATTGTCATAACAAATATTATAAATATTTGAGTAAACTTTTGATAAAATAAATTCCTTAAAGTGTTTAAATGAATTGATAACAAAACGATCTTTAAATGTATTTTTATTTCTATTTTCAAATTGTGTTTTAAATGAAATGAAATAAAGTTTTGTCAAATATTTTTTGTTAAATGCATTTTGAAATATTTTATATAAAGATTGTTATAAGAATTTACTCTCAGGTGATAATTATTAGTTATTTATTTGTGAACTTAAATCCAATGGAATAACAGTCTATTGAAAACTATTTTTATATATTTTGTTCAAATATATAAACGTTATGTTTATAACCAAAAGCGAGTAATTATATCGAGTGGACACTATATCGATGCGAATATATTTGTGTAATTCATTTCCATTAAACATAAGATTACCCATAATTGCTATATTATAGTGCATTATATTAGGCCTAAATGACCGGCAAATGTATAGCTAATGAATCGCATTTGTAATGCCTATGCCTTACACTTGTTATCGCAATTGTTTGAAAAAATTTCCTAAAAAATATTTGACTCGTAAGAAATGGTCCGCAAATTACTGCATAACTAGTGTAAAGGGGAATATTATGCGTCGCCTCTGGCTTTCAATTGTCGATTCGCATAGCGTTTGGGCACAGCGTTAGGCACCGGCTCTCCAAACACTGTCTCCGGTGTTTGCGTTATTAGATATTAGCATAACTTTCGACTTATATATTCAGCCTTAGGTTTTTGCACAAACTTTGCAATGAATTCAAACTGTGCGTTTTACTGTAGGTGACAACACATGATGCCTTCCAAGAGTGGGCTGACGGACACTCCAGGTTTGTCTATAGACCCGACTCGGAAGAGGCGCGCAGGCATTCAAGCGGTTGGGCGATGAGAAACACTAACAACCATAACGTCCATATACTCAAGAAGTCGTGTCTCGGCGTTTTGGTCTGTAATAAACACTGCATATTAGACAACGGGGACACCATTCACTTGAGACCAGCCATTTGTGATAAGGCACGTAAGAAGCAACAGCACAAGGCCTGTCCCAACCACAAGTGCACGGGTAGGCTAGAAGTGCAGCCGTGTCGCGGACACTGTGGATACCCAGTCACTCACTTCTGGAGACACACAGAATTTGCTGTCTTTTTTCAGGTATTTCTCTATCATTTGATTTTATTCTCAAATAAAATGTTTGAAATAATAAATAAAATGCAAACAAAAGGCCAAAGGAAATCACGACCACCCGAGGCCTGAACCCAAGTCTAGCGCTGAGGCCCGAAGAGTGGGACACTCTTATAAGTTCTCTCGAGGAATCACACGTTCATTATTACTGAACAATTCGATCGCTTCTTCACTACAGGTCTGTTATGAATAGTATTGACTTTTAAATGGCAAATAAATTCTTGCAAATCTTTACACAAATTATCTCTCATTCTTTGAAAGTAAGAAAAACAAAAGAATCTTATTTTAAGTGTAATTAACTATTATTAGGGAAAGTAAAGTATACTTCGAAAAAGTATTTGAATTTTGATTTGAAACACTTGTAGTGCCGGAAGGAATACAATTTGAATAATTCACTTAATTTCGGTGAATACATGAACCCATCCCTAAACTATTGACTTTACTATAGTTTAGAAGTTATAATGACTACAATAATGGTAAATGTGTTTCACTTATTATACATTTTTAATATAATTAGATATTATTTGAATATGAGTTTAGAGATGCTATTATTTAGCGTTTATTTATTGTATAGTTTTGACGGCTTTTAAGCTAATAACTTATGCTAAAAGTTGTAGTGATTCTCATTCACAAATCACAAAAAGGCAGTAGTGATCAGTAATTAGTTTGGATTTAGACTCACGTAACAGTTGGACCATTCATTTCATAACCAATACACCAAAAGTATTCACAAAATCCGTGGGAAGTCTAACAGCAGTTTAAGAGTAAATTTGCAAAACTATTTCCGCACCGATTAGTTCATTACATGAAGACTGGAGTACATTATAGGCAAACAAATAGAGTAAAGAATTGCATTGCAATTCATTGGAGTGTATAAACTATCTTAAATAGTAAAACAAAAAACATTTAGTATTAAACCTCTTATATCAATACACGTGAATCTCATGCAATGTTTTACCAATATTTGGTTTGAGAGTTACGACAACAAAATCAATTGAATTGTAATACTTTTAATACAAAATCAACTTTTACTTTATTTTCAAATTGTAAACCAAATATTATTAAAGTTATTGTGATTATTATAGGAGTAGTTTTATTACTGTTAATGATATACAAATATTACGAAGTCGTAAAACAGAAACAAATTTTCTTCATTCAAACAGCAATTGACAGTAAAAGAAGTGAAATCCAAAGCAATGCAAGAGATCTCTTGTGAGAACTCCAACGCTTACTGTTCACTACAATACGTTCCTTCCGATGATTTACTTTATTTGGATTCAACAAAAAATGGTAACTATTTTGTAACCGATTCTTCAATATATTCAATATTAAATATTCTTTCAATATGTTTACCATATAAAGAATGCAAAGAATATTCTGGTTTCCCTCAAACTGAATGCAATTGTTATACATACGA